AGCCCTGGTTAGCAGCCCAGGTGTGTGCTGGCTGCCAGCAACACAGTGACAGGAGATTAAGAGAGACTGGGATTCAACTCTGACAGGCCTGACACAATATATTTGGAAATTTTCAGGCAAGAACAAGAGTAATAAAGACAGGAACAGTGACAGTAAGGAACAAATGTGAATTTCTGTCAGAGACCAAACAGAATTTTAAAAGAAGTAGCTCTGTTTATTGTCTCCAGTCAAGCTTTCTAGTTAAAATGTGTTTCTAAATTGAAAGTCTCAAGGCTACTTTGTGCAATTGGTGAGGGATGCGTATTTAAGAATTTCTCTTTACAGGAATGTTTTCAGGCTGGGAATTTAGCTCAGTGGCACCTGCCTCACAAGCTCAAGGTCCTGAGCTCGATCCCAGGGCTGCAAAAAAAAAAAAAAAAAAAAAAAGAATATGTTTTAAAAACCATTGTACTTGTTTCTCTGTTACAAATTAAGCAATGATTACCTTCAGACCAAGAAAGCTGATAGGTAGACTGCCTTTTTAAAGATTTTTCTACCTTGTTAAATCACATGACCCTTGATCACATTTTCCTTTGACTGGAGGAGCTGATGTAGTATAGTCCTCATCCTTCTAGTAAACACTGGCAGAGAAAGAAAGGTCTTGTGAACCTGTTATGGGAGTATGTCAGCTTTGTGTGGGTATGCCCAGACTAGATTATGTTCTCAAGAGAAAGAATACTAGGAAAAAACTGCTTTGTTGGCTCTTTGGGAAAGACCTTAATTAGAAGTCACTCTCAACTCCTAGGGTGGGAACTGTTTCCAGCTTGCCACTACAGCTCCTCCTGCTGCTAATGAGCATGCTCCTTGCAAGGACTTGTTTCTTCTGAAAGTTAAAGCTGCATGTAAGAGTTATTTCTGTTCACCTTTCTCTCCACATTTAACCCTTACTGTCCAAGTTCAGAGTATGGAAGTAGGTTAATTAGGTTTTCTTGTTATTGTTCAGGAAATTGAAACTGCTTCAGGGTATAGCAATAATATTTGTGAGCAAAAAGTAAATAATTGTGGTTTTATTTATTCCAATATGGGCAGTAGTTGATTCTTTTAATGTTGACCATGTTTGGATCTTTTCTTTCTGATACTTTAAAAAATAATTGATACAAAATTTATAATTGAATAGTTGAATTATTTAGTTCATGATTATGTAATTAGAATTCTTGCCCTGGACATCTGTTTCCATTATTTAAGGCAGCTTACCCCATGACACAAGGTTTCATTAGGTAATTAGCAGAGGAGATGTGAATTTCTTATGCAGCCATGATGATGCTCCTATAGGCTGCTGTTTATTTCATTAGCTTCTAATTAAAACTCTAAGATGACTTGTGAGAAAATGCCAATAAATTGTTTGCTTCACCAACAAGTTATATATAACATAGTCACCTTCCTGCGTGGTGGCATGTGGAGATTGGTAAACAGTTTTGGGCACTTAATTCCCCCTCCCTCTTCTTGTTTAAGGAGCATTAGAGGCCGTAAGAATTTCTTTCCATCTAACAGACCATCAGTAGAAGGAACCATATATGGTCATATTCCAGAGCTTAAAAATTGTGGATCTCTGTAGTGTCTGGGAATAGTTCCTTGATTTTAAAAATAGAATGCACTGTGTTAGATATTTTGTCTGTCTTGGTGTAGAATATTCTAGGACTTCTTCTTACAGCTCAGACTTTGTTCACGTGGACCCTTTGGTTGTACACTTGGACAGATGCTGGACATTGACTCAGAGAACCAACTAGAGCTCAGTAGGTTCTTTTTAGGACAGCCAGTGCAGTGCAACCAGAAACCTCCCCCAGACCCACTCAGGAATTTCCCATACCCACTACCTACCAGAACAAATACTCAGTTGTATTTATGTTAATATGGAATGGATAAAGGACAATCTCAGCACCGAACCTCACAGACTTATTCTTTACCATTGTTACTGATACTGGTAGATCAGATAAAGTGGGAGTTAAAGAGGAGGAGGAGGTTACTGCTGGACAGGCCTCCTAACTGCTGGGGATCTCATTAAAGCACTTGATTGGAAATGAACAGTTGGTGGTTATGAGTATGTAAAATATGAACTCTATTTTCCAATCATAGGGATCACACAATGAAAAATTTGTCATGTACCACTCTCTTGTTTATTTGAAAATAGTTAGCCATAGATCACAGTGAAGAGTTTCTCGTCTCCCACCCTCCCTTCCTCGCTCTTTTCCTCTCTTCCTCTTCCTTCTCCTCTCCCCCTCCTTCCAGCTTTATTGCTGCCTAAAATTAAATTATCTTCTGTTTGCACCAAAGGTTTGCTTTACAAATGGAAGTGGGTGCTTTGCAGGTAGACAATACATTTGACAGTTTAGGCCAGACTTTGGGAAAGTGAATTGCATTTCCATGCATACACTTATTTCTATCAGAGGTGTGAATGAAAAAGTCTTGGGGTCTGCCATGACACTCCACATTTTGATAGCGTTAATAATAAAAATGTTTTAACTAACTCCCAATCCTGGTACCCGGGCTGGAGGATACAGGGGACCTCAGTTCAGGAACTTAATTTGTTCTATGATTTTGGAAAAGATGACCACATTTGTGTTTGTATGGGAAACAAGGCTGTGATTATGTCACCTGATGGAGAGTTCACAAACAAAAAATTTTGCCGCACACTTTTTTTGTGAACCAAATTGCTCATGAACCAGGGTACTACTATAATTTCTTATAAGGATGCTTTAAATTTAGGGCCCTATCTCAGAATAGATACCTTCTGTTGTTGGGGCTTTTACTCAAGAATTCTTTTTCTTGTTTCACAAAAAAGTATACCTAAATAGGGTTATTAATACAAATAGTGCCATTGTTGGTTTGTGGAAAAGGACCCCCAGGAGAGCAGCGTGGCTCATACAAGCTGAATTCCATTTTGCTTTCTAATGATTTACACTTAGATTGTTGCTCTCTCTCAAAGAAGGGGAAGGGGCCAGCCTGTCTGGCTGCAGTGGTCTCACCAATGGGGTCTGGAGAGTTTCACTCAGCAGAGCTGGGAAATAGGTTGAACTTGCTTTCAATTGTTTTCATCAAAGTCCTTATTTAGTTGGCTTGTATTAGGGGAAAATGTCATGTTAGGACCGCAGGAATTAAATGAGATGAAAAATGAAGTTTGAAGTTGCTCACAATGGCGCAGGGCATCCATATGCCAGTACACAAGGTGGTACAATTGGGCCTTTGAGCAAACTGCCCCTCTGTTGGAGCTAGGGATGATCTTGGGTGAAGATCTTGCACTGAGAGGCTGAGGAAAGGCATACAGACAGTTGACACTAAGATACATGCGACACACTGTGGCTTCTCACTACAGCCACTTTACATAGAAAATCAGGACTGCCTAGGAAAAGATTCATTCATTCATTCATTCATTCATTCAAGAAATGTTTATTGTGCTGTAGCCATGGAGGGCACGGGTGAATTTCTAGTCTTCCTAGAGCTTATATTCTCCTAAGGGGTAACATTAAGGGACAAACTCTATGGAAGGCTATCGGGCAGAAGGTGTGTGTGTGTGGGGGGGTGTTAGGTAGGGTGATCCTGGAAGAAGACTTCCATTGAAACTGACTTTGAAGCAGAGTCTTAAAGGGTCTCAGGTAAAAGTGGGTGACATGTATTTCAGAGAGAGGAACAGAAGGTGCAAAGCTACAGATGCAGGAAATAAGAGGCTAATGTAGATGGAGCCCAGGAGACAGTCAGGAATGAGGGGAGGGCAAATTGTGGAAGACCTTTTACTCTGGGAAGGGGAGCTATTAAGAGAGTTTTGAGCAGGGAAGTGATTCTAACATGGGATCACTTGGCTGCTGTGTGGAAATAGGCTGTGGAGGCAAAAGGTGAGCAGGGGGACCAGGTAAGAGGCGTGTGTGCTGGGCTGGATGAGATGGGTGATGGCTTAGACAGTGGTGTGGGGTGCTGAAGAGGTGAGAAATGGTTCGATCTGGATTATTTTCAAGAATGCATCCTCAGTATGCAAGGGTGGCTATTGAGGAACACAGCTCCCCTTTATTTGAAAGCAGTTGTTTATAGCCTGCCTTTGATCTGAACTCCATTGCATTTTACTTGGTTTTTTGAGGCTGTAAGATGCAAGTTGTCATACATCTCCCTCACCTGCCACTTTGGCACAGCCCTTGCTTGGGTTGTAGCTGCAGTTGCTGGCTGTGTAGCATCTGCCATGAAAGCCATGGGACAGCTTGCTTGTGAACACACAGGGGTGCTCCTTCACTGTGAATAACTGGACTTATTTTTAATATTAGAACTTTATTCTTGTGTGTTGGGGAGTAGAAACATGAGTAATTTTAATAGAAAAGATTATATGTCCTAAAAACCACTGGCTTTGAGTATGGCATTGTGCTAAGCACAATGATGTAAATATGCATTATAATCTCTTCTCTAAAAGAATTACAGTCCACTTGAGGACAAGCAAATGCCCAAGAAGAGGTAAATAATCAAATACAAGCAGTAAACATCTAGGATCCAAAGAAAGCATTCAGACAGAGGATCCCATTCCCAGCTGGAATAGAATCCTTATGAAAACTTAAGCTATTTTAAAAAACAACAGTAATGTAGAATTGATTTCGTGAGCCATCCCCACCCTCCTCTCCTTTCTACCTCAGCCCTAGCTTATTAGAAGTCAACCCTGAAAGCGTCTGCTTCAGATTGTGTATTATAAACAGATTACTACAGATTGTGTATTATAAACCAGATAGAAAATGGGTTCTCTTGCTGGGCATGGTGGCGCATGGCTATAATCCCAGCATTTGGGAGGCTGAGGCAGGAGGATCGCTGAAAGTTTTCAACTGACCTGAGCTACATAGAAAGACCCTATCTTAAAAAAACACAAACGAAACAAACCGATTCTGTGCTCACACAGTTCCTTCCTAGACAGGGGTGGTGCTTGGCAGTATATCATCAGTTGTGCTTGCTAGGCCAGAAACTAATACTGATCTCCCAATGTGTGGTTTGATCAGATTCACAGTCTGAGAATGAGGCTTCACCAGTGAAACGGCCACGACTACTGGAGAGTACTGAACGGCCTGAGGAAACCAGCCGATCTAAACAGAAGAGTCGACGTCGGTGCTTCCAGTGCCAAACCAAGCTGGAGCTGGTGCAGCAGGAATTGGGATCGTGTCGCTGTGGTAAGTGTCTTCCCCAGGGCGCGATGGAGACTGTCCTTACACCCTACCCAGCGCAGCTTTGGAGCTCATCCCTAAGGGGCTGGCGTCCCTCCTTCCTCCCCCCAGCACCTCCCTGGAAGCTGTAGGATTAGAGCTTGAGAGATTAGGACTGCAGGGTTCTCACCTCCATTTCCTCTTTTCCTCTCACACAGACAAAAGACCCAAAAAAAGAAAAAAGAAAGCATTCCCCAACTGCTCTTTGACATCCTGAGTTACTTTGTGCTTTCAACTTCTCCTAACCCCTTATGTAACTCTGGTTTCTTCTATTCGTCATTTTAAAAATTACTCAAATCAGGAAATGTGGGATACGTACCATAAATTTGAGATATTAAGTTAGTATTGGAGGAGTATCTTACTATTTATGATAAATAGAAGAATTTTCCCTATGTCCCCTTCAAGGTTTGATTAGAAAATTGTTTTCTTTGACCCTTAATTCAGCCAGTGAGTTAACGCCTTAAATTACCATGAAAGTGGCCTTTTCCTCTTAATTCTCCAGTGTAATACCACCTGTTAAGGTTGCTGCTGAAGGGTGCAAGGTTTAAAACTTCATGCCTCCCCATAGCGGAACAAAACTTAGAAATCATCCTGCTCTTGACCACATATATCATGTCATCAGGTTAAACTTGTGTAACTGCATTAGTTTAGGCTGATGTACATTTTTCTTGTTCCTGTTTTTATTTCCTGATTTTAAAGTGTGATGTTATAAAATTGCCCATGGAGCAGAGCTGTTATCAGGCTGAGTTTACACCTGGCTGTAGCTTCTGAGAACCCTGTGTCTCTCATCCCCAGACGTTAGCTTTAGAAGCCCTCTTTCACCTCTAGGGTGGCCATGGACAACCCTACAAGTATGGTGGTGCTGGCAGTGAGGCCTAAACTCCCTGGAAGTTCTCTCTCTTAGGGTTAGCCTTTGCTGCTCCTGTCCCTCAATTATCTGCCCTTTTGGAAATGGCTATGGTGGGGAGGGCTAGCTTCTTATGGAAACTAAGCTCTTGGAACTTAGTCAACTGTCAACACTGTTGTGTGTGTGGCTCCACAGGGTTAGAAGTACATATTCAGCTGTAGGAACAAGGAGCACTCTGGGCGATGTCTGGAGGAGTATTGACTCTTTTAGGACATTCAGTTATGCTGTTAAATGCTTATGGCAAAATGTAAAGAAGAGGGTAAGTGGTGGGAGCAGAGTGCCACCAGTTTTCAGATTATGTGGTACGGCCCCAGAGAGGCCAGAACCTTATGCTTAGGCTGTGTTTTAATCAGCCTTGCCAGGTAATTTTAAATTCTTAAGTCAGGGATACTGTGGTTAGCCAAGGCAGCTGTAGGGCCTGATAGTAACCAGCTTTACCCCACACGGAAGAGTCTAATCCTTTGAGGTCTACAAATTCTTGCTTCCATGTTCATGAATGATTGGAGAATTTCAACAGTTCATTTTGTTAACAGTGTTGTGAAACCTACCTGGACTTTTTGCCTGTTGCCTTTATAACATAGGCTTTTGGTTATTGCTCCTCAGAGCTATGGATTTTTCTGTATCTTGTATTCTTGCTTTTTCTTGAAAGTAACTGAATCCCAGGTATTACACATAATTTGCCATAGCAGATCAAGCAGTTGGTCCATCAACTGTGCAGTCTTGCCTCCAGCAGTGGCTAATGCTCCCTCTCTGTGTCAGGCCCATAAAAATTCAGTTTAGTGAGGTGGTATAACCCAGCCTCCCAGTTTATCCTTCAGCTTTGACCTAATTTCCCAAGGTCATGGCACCCTGCCAAAAAAACCCAGAAGCAGTTGTCAGGTGACTACTTGTGCCCTCAGTGAAGCCAGCTTTGACTATCAAACTGTCCTGGTTACTTTGCCATGTGCTTCATCCTCTTGGGCAGGAGGCTTTCGGTTTGCCACAGAATTGCATCCTTTTTCAGTGAATTAACGCTTGGTCCAGTCTTGTGCCTAATTCTGAGAGTCTACTTAAGGGACGTTTGGCTTTTTTGTTGAAGAAGAAAGCTCTGAGCTTTCTGCAGGTGGAGCCTTCCCAGAGCAAGAGCTGAGAGTTAGTTTGGTCTGGTCAAAGTCTTAAACTATGGGTTCAGCAAAATGACCGAGTCAGCTGCCACACTTTAAAACATGAAGGACAGCAGTGGAACATACACCTCCGGGGCTGCTTTTGACAAATAGCTCTTATGTTGCTCCTGTGTGCCTGCTTGGGTCTCTCGAGGAGAGGTTATATTGCATGGTTATTTCATTGAGGATGCATGAAGTGTTGGAGAGACATTTAACAGCCCTGAAAGGTTTTGGGGGAAGGAGGGGACCACAATAATTTACTACTGAAAGTGAAGACTCAGGAAGGTAGTTTGAACTCAGACAGAATGCTTCTTCACTGGAGAAAATCTTTTTTTATACGGATCCACAATCTTTTCTTCCATTCCCCTTCCACTCTGTACAGGTTATTAACTGCTGACAAGAAATTCACATCTCATAAATAATGCTTAAGAGCCATTGCTATATAAATTGAATGTGTTATGAATTATGATGGGCCTTTTTGTAGCATTCGATGCCTAGAGCGGGAAGAACAGAGGATGTCATTTTCATTAATTTCTAATGAGGTGCCAATTAAAGGCAGGGAAGATGCTCTGAAGGGATGAGTGGCCGAGCTCCCCTGAATCCTCTGCCCGAGGCTGTCATCCAAGCACTGCCAGCAGAGCCTTCTCTAGAAATTCCATTAAATTACAGTCTCATCGAGAGCACACACAGACACATTCAGCCTCCCTTTGATCTTCAAAAGAGCAATTTGTAAGGCGAGTTCTGAGCCTTCTCACATAAGGAACAGCTATAGGTGATAGGAATTGTTAATTGCCAAGGCACTCCATGGGTTTTCAGTAAGGAGGTGAATTTTGAAGATGAATTCTGCTCTGCCTCACTGTGACTAGATAACCTTTACATCAAGAATACCGAAGTCATACCTTTTTCCTGTGAAATCTTTCAGGGTGCCAATTAGAAAAGGCAGTGGTATGGCTAGGGTGATACCCTGCATCCTAGGCATCTTCAACAGTTTAACTTCTCAAGATAGAAAACAATTGGATAAAATGGATTTGTTTCATTTTCCTGTTGTGGCCAGACTGGTCAGCTGCTTCTCCTGTAGGATGCTCATCTCCTGCAGGGCCGCGAGAGGATGCTCTTCTGCGCCTGCTGCATCACAGCTGCGCGAATGCTGTCTGCAGCCCACAGGCCTTGCATTAGATACACACAGCGTGGGCGCTGCTGCTCAGAACCACAAACTTAATTTTTTGACCCAGTCTAAGAGCTTTGCATAAGCTTTTTTGCGTATTTTCAGTGGATGGTGACTTAACAGAATGTAAGTGGATATGGTCCCTTTGGGGACAATAGGCTTTTACTAACCTCACAAGTAATCGGACTTCTTTATTGTTTTCCAAGTAAATTCCTGTTAGAAACCCAGGGAGGTGCCTCTGGAGTAGTCTGTCGCATTCAAGTACTTCTATGGTCATTTCTGCCCTGTCACTCACTGTCAGACCGAAATCAGGAAGCTTTTATGAGCTGACTATACATGAAGCGTTTTGCTAGGTTTTGTGGGAGATATAGGGGCTAGAAATACAGAATCAGCATAGCAAGGCCTTTCTGTGATTCACTTTTCCATATCCTTGCCAACATTGAATAGTGTCAATCCTTTTAACTTTCGGTACTGTATTTCAGTAAAGTACTGGGTGTGTGTGAGTTTCTCATTGTGGCATATTAATTTGCATTTCCTTAATTTCTGGTGATGTTGGACATTTTTGTCATGTGCTTTTTGACCATTCATCTTTATAAGAAATCTGTTCACATGGAAATATTTTGCCCCTTTACTTTTTTGGTTTTTTTGGTACTGGGCATCAAACTCGGGTCCTTGGGCCTGCGCAGCAGTACTTTTTTTTTTTTTTTAACAAAAAGACTTACAGAGTTGTTAACAATATGCCAACCCATAAATAATATCTGTCCGTATGTTTAGGAATACAGCTCAAAGTATTTTAGGTTTTTGATTATGTTGTAAATGGAACTTAAAATTTTTATTATCAAATTGTTCTTTGCTGCCTCTTAGAAATGTTGATTTTTGTTTGATTGTTTATCCTGTAACCTGGCTAAATTTAGTTCTAGATTGATTAGGATTTTTGTACATCTATAATCACATCATCTGCAGCTATAAGCAGTTTTACTCCTTTCTAGTCTATGTTCCTTTTCTTTCTCTTGGCTTTTTGTACTTCCATCATAATGTTGAATAGAAGTTTGAGACATTGTTGCCTTTCTTTGATCTTAGGTTAAAAGCCTTAGTCTTTCACCATTAACTGTGGTAGAGTGGTAAGTTTTTCACAGTTGTCCCTTACCCTGGCTAATCGGAATAGTTACAGTTGAAGAATACATTCTAAGAAAATGTGGGTGGGAAACCTTCAGATACATTCTCCAAAAACAGATGATTTAGCTAGGGTAAGTACCATGTGCCGTATAAAAGGTCTGCAAGGCTGGAGCTTTGCCTTGCCTTAGAGTCCTTTCTGTTGACAGTTGAAGCCATTCTTCATAGTCATATGTCCTGGAAGCTTCAACCTGAGAGTAGCTCTCTCTTCTTCAAACCAACATCCTCACGGACACACCAGGTACTGTTTGAGGTTAACTCTGAAAACCTAGTGTTGGAACAGCAAGGACAGTCTCATATAGGAATGGCGGATTGGACTGTTTTCTCCATATTTTCTGTCAGAGATCCTGAGAAATTCTGGGTGTCTTTTTAAACAAAACCTTTCTTCATCTGGTGATCTCCTCCCGAGACTTCTCGAAAGTCTTGTCTTCTGGTTGGCCTCTGTTGATGTATTTCTCTGAGCATATTGAAAATTGTTTGTCTGTCTTTCCCCAGACCCCGAGTGCTGCAGGGCAGGGACCATATTGTGTTCTTCTGCAGTTCTCACACCCAGCTGCAGTGCTGTGTACAATGATGCTTA